AGAAAAATAAGAGCTTCTGAGCGGATGAGACTTTCGTATGGTCGAAAAGAATATATATGTAGAATATCTATAGAATATATATTATATATATATGAATATATATATATATGAATATATATATATATGAATATATTATAGAATATGTTATATTGGCACTGACGTGTGGGAGAAGGTGACATCTCGACAGCCAGGCTTTGCGAGTGCCTTCGGTCAATGAACCAGCCTGCAAACTCAGAGGTCCTGTCAGCTATATAATGAGCTCCTAGTGAAGTGAAGCAAATTCTCATGAGTCATGAGTATTGCACAAGATCCAGAGAATGTATAGTTTGTGTTCAAAGTCCTCGTGCTACTATGCCGTTGCCATGCCTCATTGCCCCCCCGATCACTAGGGGATGTTGCTCCTGCAGCTTGCAAATCGCAAGAGCTATAGATGCCACGTTGAACAGATATCCGTGCCATGTTCTGCAGGCATTTCACCTCAGTGTCAGTATGCAAGGCCCCCAATCAATATGTATTGTCATAGGACTCAGATACACGGGCACAGCGGAAGAGCTCGATGAATCTGTGGCTGAAGCTGACGAAGTTGCACAAGCCGCTCGTGAGTCTGGGCTCTTCACGCAGGTTTATGAGGTCATAGAAAGGCATGCCATTGAGTTCACTGAAGATCAGGTTAAGAATATGCTGGGGCAGATACAGGAGAAAGTCAACTTGGCTGTCAATGACTTGAAGAACAATTCAACTCTTGTGCTTTTCTATGCTGGTCATGGAGGCTTCAAAGACGGTCCGACCCTGATAGGGAGCGCTGCAAATTGGATCTCTCTAGAACCGCTGCTTCTCTCTGAACTTGCAAAGAGACGAGAAGAAAATAAGCAGTTACAGTTACATTGCATCCATTTGGGCCTTGTTCTTTCATGCTGCCGTGCAGATGTCAAAGAATTCCATGCCTTAAATGTCGCAGACAATGGCCTTCAGAAGCCCAAGGAGGGGGATACACTCAGCAAACTTTTTGCCTGTGGGACAAGTGGCTATGCTGTAGATTCAGTGCTGCTTGGATTTTCCTTTGCATACTACCTCCGGAAGCGACCAAACGATTTGGATACACTTCTGAAGCGCACATGCCAAGATGTCCAGCATTTGTCAATTGGTTATATCAGCCCAAGGTTTGTGCCCCATGGGAGTCCCGGCACATTTGAGCAGAACTTGACTCCTTGAGGTTCAAGCCGTGTCGACAAATAACCACACCATGATTGCCACATTGTTGTTGAAGGTTTTGATAGCATCCCAGAAAGGAGAGTGTGTTGACTGTGAGGGTGGATGGGCAAAGGCAGAAACTGCAAGGTTTGGGTGATCATTTGAGAGACGTAGTACTTGGAGGGGGCTCAATTTTGCCAAAAAGGATTTGGAGTCTTTATGAGGAAAGCGAAACCGGAGAAAGTTAGGTACAGTAGGAATCCAAACGCCTGAATGTCATTTATGAGCGGACTTTTTCGCAGGGTTCCAAATTTTGCGACCGAGAGTAGGATTTATGGTGCGGTATCGTTCTGACGGTTTGTCAACTATAGACTAGATGGATCATGCATTTGACTTTATGTTCTCGAGATTTGAATCTTTGGAGAAGCTTTGTATTCCTGTGGAGGATAGAACCAAACTTCTGAGATCTGGATTGATCTGGATTCAGATCTAAAGATCAAGCAGATGTTTCGTCAGTGGTAGAGAGGTGAATGCAGAAGGCAAGGGACCCTGTGCACAGTAAGGGTATGTAGCGTTTGGCCGAAGGATCTGATAGGGATTGCTTGCATGTGTATGTCGCAAAGCCTGATGTGTTGTGAATTCTGAAGTGGTTCCAATGAAACCAACTCGCTTGGTTGCCAACCTTCAACAAGCAGCAAGCATCATATGGCGGAAATGCTAGATAGCTTGAAGGACTTCCTAGGGAGAATGCCCCGACAAGGCTTGTTCAGCTTCTACGAGAGCTGTACGAATCGTAGCAAAGCCTACTTATGCAGCTTATGCATTAGTATTGGGTATCCGGGATCCGTACTCTATCCAGACACTTAGTAGCTTAGTAATAGTACCTTTTTTCATGCGCCAAAAGAGCCGCTGGTTTATTTTGGCAGACTCTGCAACTGTCCAAAACAGTCTAAAACTGTTTGGGCAGAATGTCAGACAAGTTGTGTTGAGAGCCGAGAGCACCCGTTTGCGGCAAGGAATGATGGAACTATTGACCTGCATTATGACAGAACTGATGGGGTCACACCAATCATGACCGACGTTGAGCTAATGCATTTGAAGGATGCCCGTTTGCTTGCCAAGCACATCTTTGAATTGGTGCAGAAAGAGATACGCAGCGAGAATGGCTATGACCAGATGAGGCAAGTGCTCTCAGACATCGCTGAACTTGTGCGAAGTCAGGAAAGGCGAGTGTCCAATTTGCAAGTACAGCTCAGAGCCCTTTGCTGCAAAGATATGCAGTCTTTGCAAGAAGCGCTGGAGAAAAGTCTTTCCAATTCTATCCTTTCCATTGATGAAAACGATGCCAGCATATTCATGCTTGTACCCAGGAAGACATTCGAGGCCTTCTATGCAGCACTCACTGACAATCTACAAAACCTTGCAGAGGACACGTATGGCATGTATGGTGACAGAGAAAAGGCTGATGCGGAACTTGACACTGCTCTTGATTGCCGGGCACCTCTCGTCAAAGAAGTTCTTTTGAAAATCGGATCCCTATATAAAGAACATCGCTTCACACCTCAGAGCGAGGAACCACGGGATGTTCAGCCACATCACACATTCATTGAATCACGGGGGGCTTCTCCCAGCAGCTTGAGCAGACAAGAGCGGCGACAAGTCATTGACAATGTGTGTGACCTGCTTAAGCGCTTAGGCATAGATTGCGAAACAGTCTATTTGCTTGAAGGCAGTTTGTGGATTGTCCTGAGAACAGCCCAGAAACTAGAGATGGATAAGGAACTCAGTCTTGAGAGGGAGCTTTCTGTGTACATCCGTGGGTGTGTTGAAAGCAAGAAGCTGGGTTGGATCTTTGCACAAGATCCTGAAGTGAAGAGAACAGCACTGGTTCCTCCTGTTGTCCTGAACCTGGTCCGTTTTGCAAGCGACATTTGCGCAAAGTTGAAGCGCGAAGGTTGCAATGACGACTTTTCATGTACGTGGCTGGACGTGTTGGGGTTGAAAGATATCCTGTCGCCAACAGTGGTTGGACAGCAGTTGTGGCTGCTGGTCAACGGGCAGGAACTGGATGATGACCATTTGCTGCGTACCACTACTGGTTTGCAGATAGTCAGTGCACCAAAATGGGAGAGTTTGGCGTGGCACCCGAAACTTGTTGAACCGTTGGCCAAGCTGCCACAAAGACTGCCATTGTTAGCCCGAACGAAAGGGTTTCAACACTTGTGTTTGGCTATTCATGGTCTTTGCTGCACACAAACGGTATCTATGCTCTCGAACCTTTCCCTTCAAGTCGTTCGTGATCTTCTTGAGAGGGACGCAGCATTAGAATGCGTAGATCCCTTCAAATTGCTGAAAGAGGTGCTTGGGCGAACCATAGTATCATATGTCATCATACATCCTTATACTGTATATCCTTTAGTCTTTTTGTTTTGCTTTGTTGGGCTAATGTAGCAAACTGCAGCGCCAAAGTGTTATATACTTGGAATGGCTCCTTGCTCTTTTGGTTAAGGTGTTCCGCCAACTACTTCTCGAATGGCATCATCAGCATTCACGTTCGATCCAGAGTCGGGAGCGACCAACGCTGGCAGCTTCTTCTGCTGAAGCATCGCCGCCAGCTGCACTACAGACCGCAAGAAATGTGATACTCGATTTGCATAAACAACTGGTGTCTCTCCCAAAGACACAGAAGAGGCTTCTGAAGTTGGCTGCAGTTCCGTTGAATGCTCCACCTGCCTTGATTGACGAGTTCAGCAGGGTATTGAAAGCTCTTGGTCAGCCGGTGACGACACGTGGCGGGCCATCTACGAATGATGAAGTGGATGGTGAAGTGGTAGCCACTTTGGACGCTTTGCTCGCGAACATTGAGAGCATGGGTTGCGAGAATGCTTTGGATCACTTTATTGACGAATGGAAATAGACCCTGCATAAAGATCTCTAAAGAATCACAGAAACAAGAGCGAGAACTTATGTGTAGTGGAATTTGAAAAAGCCGATTTGCTCGGGATTCGTGCTGAGTGGAAGCTGCTGCTAAAACAAGAGGGTCATTTCATCGGGACACTACAACGCTTAGAGGGCCCATTTGGAAGGATGGCTGTTGAGTGCAACAAGCCCCGCCTTGAAAAGCAAGAGGACACTCCATCCTACGTACATTGCTGAGCACCTGTAGTGTGTAGATCCTGCATTCTTCCCGACGAGCAAGTGCTTTACCGAGACAAAGAAGCCATACCATGTTATCTAACATTCGCTATTGTCACATATGGTTCCATCAAGGATTTTTTTTGCACGACACAGAAACATGCATCTCACACAGGTACCAAAGCTTTTGCTTGGCAAAAGCCGCCCTGCCAAAAGGGTGTGGCCAAAGAGAGCAGCAAAGAGTAAATTGAAAGAGCGGCGTGGGTCACAGAATGGTCCGAGGTACAAATCAACCTGCACTCCTTGCGTTCTTTGAGTGGCAACAACTTGGCGGCCATGGCAGAGGATGCCTGAAATTTGTTTGAGTTTGTTCTTTTGAGCAGTTCATCCATCAACAAGGCTTGTTTTGTGCCACTGCTACTTTTTCATGTCCGGTATGAACTTCCATTGGACTAAAAGACCATCGACCGTCGAGTTTCAGCCCAGGATAAATAAGTCGTGGGCTGACTGGCTGAATATTATCAACCGGTAATGTGTTGTTTAGTTATGGTTTGTTTCAAGGATGCTTCTAGGCTGAAAGGTGAGACTGAGAAAACTGATCCTAATCTGGTGAATTCGTTAGTTTTTCGGGCAGGTGATGAATTATGATGACCCAACAATTGATAGAAGTTAGCTGCCTCGGGTCTCCTTCCTTTGCTTTCGCTTGCCTTGAACTTGAACATCCACCTCTTTGGTGCCACAAGAGCGCAGGACACTGATCGGACGGATTGGGTTCCACCGTGGCGTGGCAGCAGATGAAGACCATGAGATCATTCATTTCTTGGTTGTATGTACAGCATCAAGATGCAAATTCATTTGATTGAACGGTTGGTCTCCACAATCAGCCTCTCCTGACATCCTAACTTCATGGCCGTTGAGGCTGATGCACAGCAGGCCGAGCTGCACAAAACTGCTGTTTGGATTGCACGTGTGCGCAGACCCTGACATACCCGCTATGGGAGCCATTGAATGTTCTGATTTGGGGTTTTTGTAAGTGAGGCTCATTGTATCTCACTGTAAGAATTTGTATGCAACTTTTGGGAAACTTGGTGCGGTGGAGTTTGCTGTAGACTGTAGACGCTGCGAGCTGCAAGGTGTGCTGGTGCGAGGTGCTTGTTGATAGACAAGTCTGGTTTTCTGGACGTTGATCCGTGAAAGATCGCAAAAGCCTCCCTTCAGCCCGAGCAGAAAGTACAGAGCAAGACCACATGTCCAACATCCCTCAGTAGATCCACCCTGTGGATGAAACTTTCACTGCCTTCAAGTTAAGAAAGTAGTGACAAGATATTACAGTACATAGGCGATGTTGAATCTTGTGGGACCGCTGAGAATGCACGATTCTGGTTGTGTCTCTGTAAGTTGAAATGCCACAAGTTTTTGTTGTGAGGCACAACTCCCTGGAGTTCCGGGAGAGCACGCTGGTTCCCGCCTTGGATGGTAGAACTTGTGGCTTTTCAACATTGATGGAGCAGATGATCAATTCTGTGGAATGGATTCTAGCAGATGAACGTAAAATATGATGGATATTGCAGACGTTCCTTTTTGTTTCTCTCGGAAATTCAACAACGCCAAGTCAATGGCCACTCCGATGATGATACCCCCAGCTTTGGCCTCAGCAAGTCTTGGATGTTTGGAAAGGTCAACGGACAGAAAGAGGCTCGATCTTCAAGGTCAAACCCAGACGGCATATGGTGCATTTTTGCCTTTATGCTGAAAGCAGTGGCACATTGGCCTTGCAAGCGTTTGCCAAGGTTGCGTCTGGCCATAATCCAATCTTGGGGGAGACAACTGAGGCGGTCTCTATTGAGGGTATCAGCATTCAGCATGTTTACAGTGTTTTCAGACCGCAGTCAAATGTAACTTAACCCGACATCCCAGATAATTGTGTATCAGTCGGTACAAGGATGCCTGGGAACATGTTTGCTTCAGGAGGCAACCATGCCTACGATGCCTACAACCACGGTGGAGCAATTCTGGCAATCAAGGTCAGTGTTTTTGGACGGTAGGACAGCTTTCGGCAAAGAACGGCAGAGACAGATATGGACAGATTTGATATGCACCTTATCCATACATTTGCCATTCCTCCAATCGTTCAAGAGAGAAGTACGCGAGTTGTGAAGTGTACACACTGTGAGCTCCTAGCGCGTGAACCTTTTGTTAACGAGCATCCGTACAGTTGCACAAAAACGATGATAAGCATGTGTGCGAGCACTACAGTAATTAGTTCAACTGGTTCAAGTGTTGACGGGCACTGAGGATACAATCACTCATCCATGTGTGCTAAGGTCTAGTCCAGAGTACAAATTGAACATGAGCAGCAAGCACAGTGAACATCAGTTGAGCAAAAAGTTGGGAACATGCATACCCAATCCTGGGAGATAGGACGGCAGCGAATTTGTGGCGAATTGGAAAAGCATTTTTGAGCGGGCCACCTGTGTAGTGAGAATAAGCAGCTTGAAACAAACATCCTCCTTCCGGCTCATAGTTGAGTGTGTCTTGCAGTGTCCACAAGCAAACCTGGCATGGCAGGGATGAGTCTCACTTCCGTGCAGTCCCCAGTCTTTCTGAGGTATGATTCCATAGCAACCAAAAACTTGATTCAATAAAACACTTTTGGCCCACGTGGCAGTGTATTCTGTTGCACACTCACAGATCCTGTCAACTATGTCAACAAAATTTCAGCATGCTCCAACTGTATCAGTTCCGTCCGCCTGAGGTGACTGCACCAGCAAGTTGGATCCCAACCAGGTGTCGGATGTCGACGGTTTCTGTCACGAGAAGGTACACAAAAGGGCTTTGGTGCGCTGGAGTGCTAGATAGGGACAAGTGCCTACTTGCCTAATTACTGTACTCTATTTCCATCGCTCCAGTGAATCCAGATGAAAGGCTGTGGCTGCCAAATTCCAGAATGGAGCCTGCACCGTAAGTTGTCTACTTCGCTTCAAGGAATGGGTGGGTTTCTTCATTAGCTCCTCACAACACAAGTACTGCAAAACGGCAAAACTACATTATAGCATATTATAGCCAATTCTCCGAGACTGTCAAAAGACATCTTGAAGCTATTGAAACAAGAATGTCCAAAGATCCACTTCACCGACGATTTGGACAGTGAATGTTTCCTGCTTCGCAGTGGGTGGACCATACTTACCTCGGCACAGCACTGAGATAGTTGCCAATGGTAGACGGTGTGATTGGTTTCAAATGGTAGACAACTGGTAGACGGTGTGATTGGTCCCTGAAGCAAGATCCTTCAATGAGAGAGTTTGAAGATCAAGCGGGAATAGTGACTGGTGAAGCATGAAGCTCAAGGTTGTGCAATTCGAGAACTATATAGGCTGTGAAAGTGGAGACGAAACCTGCGATCCAAAACAACTGAGGTGACAATATCAAAGGCTACTCTTCGTGGCCCAAAGGCTGGCCTGACTTGGGATGTCGGGAAGGCAACGCAAGCGTCGGTCAGGGGATAGCTCACGAGCACATTGTTTCTGAGCATACCCTACTTTTGCTTCATTAGATAAGGACCAAGGAACCACGGAAGTGACCATCCTCAGATTGGTGCAGCCGCTCGTCTGTTTTCTTTTGGCATTGCTCTAACCATTCGAGTCCACTAAGTTCAGCCACAACAGAGACCCAGAAAAAGTAAGAAAGAGTATGACAAGGATGAATTTCAAGATGGGTCAGAAATTACAGCATCAAGATGTGTCAGTGGAATTCGATATATCTATATTATATTGATATTACAATATATATATATATATGTATATTAATATGAATACAGGGATAATCGAAGAAACGCGTGATGTGAACAATTGTTTGGGAGGTTTGTGGTGGGTGGGTGGTGACGCCCTTGTCACAGGCTTTGAGCATATGGATACTCTTTACCCTGTTTGAGCCTCAGATGTGGAAATCCACATTGCTGGTTCAGGTGAGAGTTTCACCAGGGGGCTGGTGCAACCCGACAATGGCTGAAATGCAGAACTTTGGGGAAGCACGGAACGAATACAAAATCAAGAATCAGTCAGCAAAGAGCCAAATGAACTTGAACTATTCGTATCTATTTGTCTCTTCTTGTCGAAAGCTCAGAACACAATAGACGAGCAGTCAGTGCTACCAGGCGACGGACCTTTGCACCGTAGGCTCGCAGTAAGCGCGTGGGCCCAAGAATATAGACCTACCTGCTTCACTTTCCATTCAGATAGGTTTGAGACCGTTGCGTCTTGGGGGTGGATGACTGAACAAAGCTTGGATCCTGCTCATGCGTGAATGCTTGCGTTTGAGGCAGTTCAATTTCGCGCATCTGCAGCGGGAGGATGTTGGCAACTGTAGCCTAAGGTACAGCAGTCTGTCATTCGCAGGTGGCAAATAGGCAGAGTCTCCCGCAGTTTTACCGCCTCTTGACGGATCACCACATATTTACATTTGCATATTTGGTTTCAGGATGTAATTATGTCAGTGAGAGACATGATCCACATCGACATGGGTGGGTGAGTCCACATATGTACTTCAACATCACATTGGTCAGTGTCAAGAGATGGGAGGCCAAGCTGTTATGCCATATCCGTTCGTATCCTTTTCTCAAGCCCAACAAGGCCCAGGAGATCTCTTGCGGCACTTTGAACACATTCGAACAACAGCCCGTATATAATGGCTCCTCCCTTGAGGTATACCGTCACCTCTCAAAATAACTTTCTAGAAATACTTCTTTTTTGAAAATATTTGAGAAAGGTGGGTGGGTAGTGGGGA